GTACACCTCGTTCTCTCTCTCTCTACCCCCACACCGAGGAGTTGAGCCAACTGTGTTGGGCTATCAAAAGAGCACCCTGACACCTCCCCCTGCCCCCTCAGAAACCTCACACACACACACACATTTGCTGATAGATTCATTGGGGGGTGACTCTACTGGGTGGGTAACTTGCGGTGTCCCCTATCTCCTCTTTCTCTCTCTCAGGGGTGACAAGGCCAGACCTTCCCCCACAGGTATACCTGAAGAAGCTTGTAAAAGCTGGTGACCTTCAGCGGCACATTATATACTGTATAAAAGCTACAAAACCTTGCTGGATCAGAAAGGAATGGGTAGAAAGAAACTGTAATTCACTGCCTTCAATTTTTAATTTTTACTTTATTTTTTATTGTTTTTTTATCGCTAAGTCTTTTTGAATTGTGGTTGAGATGCATGTATTTTAATAAGGTGAGGTATGGAATGCATTAGCACAAAACAAAAAAAATATTTCCTATGTATTCATGAAAAAATAAATATATATTGTTGGCAGGGATGCAGACATGAGGTCTTAAAGGGACAGTTAACCCCAAAAAATTTAATTCCACCATTTACTCACTCTCATGTCATTCCAAACCTTTATGATTTTCCCCATATTTTATAAAAATGTGCTTTTTGTTCATATAATGAAAATCAATGGGATTCAGTGTTGTTTGGACCCCAGTGTTCTTCAAAATATGTTCCAACAGGGTTGGAACAACATGACGGTGAGTAAATAATGATACCATTTTAATTTTTTTGTGAACTCTCCATTTAAATGTCCTCTAAAAGTTCTCTACATTTATCTATAAAGGTACATATGATATAAAACATGCCACAGTAGCCAATAAATTCCATTTAAATCCACAAACATGCAAATATATTTGTCTATGAGTAAGAGACAGGGGCTGGGGGGAGAGGAGAGGGTTGGGAAAGGGAGATTATTACTGCACCACCTGTTTGGTGGCTTTGACAGACAGGTTGGTGTGTGCTGCTGTATCAGCAGGTCAGTGACAGCCAGTGAGTGAGAGAGAGAGACATACAAGAGAGGGAAAAAAGGCAAAATGGTCCAAAACAAGAGATACAAGTTGAGTGCACAACAACATGGCTGAGACAGACAGGAAAAAGATAGAAGAGAGACACGGGAAGTCGGATTCTGATCATGGCAGCACTGAGCAGCTGGTAAAGCCAGTATTAGCCATTTTAATTGTCTCAACCTTGCAACTGAATATAACCATAGGAACCACTATGAGCATGAAGGTTGTGAATGACAGCATTGAAAAAATTTATCCCCTTACTGTGTGTGATGCACATGCAATTTATGTCATGAGGTACTATTGGGGGAAAAGTAATGTAATCACCCTTGCTTCCATTGAGCCCCCCCTTTTGGGAATCCCTCTGTGATTAGCACCTGCTACTGTCCATCTTTGTCACTCTCTTGTCATCCCTACTCACCTCAATTAGCTTGTGTCATTTTGTGTCACAGCATAAGAAGCTTAACTGAAACAACACATTCTATACATTCTAATGACGCCATGTGTCTCATTGGCTTTGATAGATGCAAGGAAGAATGTCAAAATGACAAATATCTGTGCACACAAGGTGGGAACCTCTATTTCATCTCATGCCATTCTTCAGGCAATTAACATTCATGTGCAGAAAATAGGTTAGAACTGCCAATCTTGTCAAAACTTTAATCACAAAATGATTCCGTTAATCTACATTGAATAAATATTAAACATTACAAAAGCAGTGAAGTCGGCGCCAATAGTCACGTGGGCAGCTCACCGGCATATAGCGCTGTTGTGCTTCAGGCGTCCCGAGTTCGAGTCCCGGCTTTCAGGCCTTTCTCTCTCCCACTTTACTTCCTGTCTATATTACTGTTCTGTCCTAATAAAGGCAATAAACGCCAAAAATGCATAAAATAAAAAAAAAGCAGTGCAAATGGGTCAGTGGTTCTCAGCTGGTTTCACTTCAGGACCCTTTTTTAAACAATGGACATCAAATACACATTACCAGAATTGTGTATTGTACACATGTAAACAGGGATATGCTTAAAAATCAAACATTAACATGTATTAACAATCTGCAATACTTTTTTACATGACTTAGGCTGAATTGGATTTTTTAAAATGGCATTAGCAATGTTACCACGCTTACTGTATACATGATCATATAGTTAGTTGCATTTTATAAATTGCATTCATCAGGCCAACCTATTGTGTGACCCATTTATGAGCTGTGACCCATCAGTTGAGAACCACTGTACTGAAAATGGACAACTCTAAATGTTGCAAGGCTAATTACTGTACACGTTTCAATTTATTGACTTCAGGTTGATGAGGCCATGCATAACTTGGAGTGAGTTTGCCATCTGGTGGCATAAATTAGTAACAACATCATATGCTAGGTTCTGTCCTACGTTGTGCTTTCCTACATGCAAAAATGCTCACACTCCTCATTCAGTTCCCACATCACTACAGTTCCAGAAGTCTCTGTGCTTAAACCGCTAATCATCTCTATCTGCGGCAGGTCATTCAGGCCGCTCATCCAATCATGCAGCTTCTCTCACCACTGCTATGCTAACAACACTCAACTGCAGAGCTCCTAAACCATCATGCCTCAGAAACCCATCTACATCTCAGAATATACCCATGCCCAGCATAATAAAAAACGCCCTTCCCCAAGCATTTCATAGCCACACTAAAGCAAGCCTCTTCTTTGCCAACAAACCATCTGCCTTGTGTCCAAAATTATATTATCTGGAAATTCTTTCAATTTATACTGCCTGAGAATCCATTTCAAGAGACTGTTGCCGGTTTACACTGAGACTGACTTTTTTGCACATAATGGCAAGTACCAACCATTAATGTGACAAGCACATAGTCTCACAGAAAAGAGCAAGTCTCCTACATTTCTTACTGTTTCTCTCTTTCTTGCTCACACACACGCATTCACACTCAACACTTATAGACACCTGCTGTCAGCTTGATTGTGGGAGCCACTCTCCTTGATGCTGCCAAATGGAACAGCGACCCTCTGAGCACATCTGAGCTGTCACTCAGACGTACAGACACCCCCGTCTAGCACAGCTTGTAAGGTTAAAGCAGGCAAAGCACATCCATAGATAAACACTTTAAAACTGTAAAGTTTTAAACCAGTAATACTGAGCATTTCATTCATTTATTGTAAAACAGCATAACACTGAATGAATGTATGACTTACACAGGATGATTTTAGTTCTTAGTTCAGTTGTGCATTCATCTGGATTGCTTGTATGAGATGCACCTGTATATATGTGTGTGTGTGTGTGTGTGTGTGTGTAAACCTGAACCACAAAACCAGTCATAAGGGTCAATTGAGGGTCTCATTTATACAACATCTGAAAGCTGAATAAATTAGCTTTCTATTGAGGTATGGTTTGTTAGGATAGGATAATATTTGGCCGAGATACAACTATTTGAAAATCTGGAATCTGAGGGTGCAAAAAAATCTAAATATTGAGAAAATCGCCTTTAAAGTTATCCTAATGATTTTTGGCATAAAAGAAAAATTGATCATTTTGACCTATACAATGTATTGTTGGATATGGCTACTTATGACTGGTTTTGTGGCAATTGTATATATATATATATATATATATATATATATAATGACATTCATTCATTCACACACTTTTACACTATTCATAATAGTTTTAACATAAAGAAAAAGAAAAGAAAAATGAAAAAAAAAGATGGATTGGAAGCATTTGAATTTGATTCATTTTATTCAAAATCCTGTGACACAGGTTTCAGAAATTAGGCTGTTTAAATATCTGCAGTCTTGTTTTTAAATTGTGTATTAAATATATAAGTGTTCTGTGACAGAGCACACCATTTCAAATATATACATTTCCACCATAAATAAATAATTCTCATTGGTGCAAGATTATTCTTAGTTAGCTAAAACACATTCTGAGTATTCATCATTAATTTGTAAGAAGGAACTGAATATTTTTAAAATGTGTTTTAAATCTACTGTAAAATGAGCCTAATAAAAACACTAAACCAATCTGTATATGAATGAAGTAATATGTAAACAAGTGTGCAAACCAAATTTAGTGATATCGTTCAGCAGCTGGACACACTTCCACTGCATGCAGAATATGTGCTGCCTGAGCCTAAAGCAAAGTTAATTAAGCATGAGAACCACTGGAAAACAGAAGGGCTTGACAAGCTTTAATTAGTGTGTGCAAATATTCAGATTCTTAATCAAATCTGAAATTTAACCAACAGAATTTTAGATTAGCCCAAGGTGTCCAGTCTGTGCACAATGTTTGGTTATTTACATGGTAAATTACATAAACAGAATTAATCAGCAGTGTCTGAACCTTTAAACCTTTTTTCAAGCAAGGTTTTTTCAAGCTGCATAACTTGGAGAACTGAATTTTAAGAAACTAATAAATTAGACATTCAAACCTTGAAATGTTAGATCATCAAGATTAATTTGAATTGTGCAAGAGCACCAGACAATTGTATCTACGACAGTGAAAACTTATTTTAAATAATTAATTTATATCACAAAGTACATATGTGCAAATTTACTTGAAATTCTAATTCAGACTTTCTGCAATGATTTGTAACAGCTGTCTGATAAGCGATCAAGAGAAGTAAAACCTTCTTTGTGCAGATAAAAGCATATTTTCAAGCTAATAATTGAAGTAGGCCCTTGGAGGCAAAGGGTTTATAAACCAAATAGTTCAAGTTCAATATTAAAGAAGAACAAAGCAGAGCATTTTAAAAGAAAAATACGAAGGTGACTATACTACTCCCTTTTGTAAAAAATAGCCATGAGGGAGAAACTGAAATGAACACAGAACAAGATGTTTTATAATGCATAATATCTGAATATGTTCTGAAATAAAAAAACCCGAGTCATGAAAAAACCCAGATGCAATCTACAGTTTTTTTTCTTCTGCATTTTGGAGGAAATCTGGAGAATTCTACAGAACATATGCAAACAAGACAATGTGTTAACCTGTAAACTCTACAACCAGATGATGAAGAATGCCAATAAAAACAACAGAAAACAAAAGGTGTAAATGACAACATTGGATGTGCCAGGTCAGAAGATTTGTACAATGCAAGTTTGAAAGTTTAAAGAGGACACAACCCCAAACTGTCCTCTGCAGGTCAGGTGGAGTATCACAATGAAAGGAGTGGAAGATTTGTAGCAGAACTTTGAGAATGATGTATGTTCCAATTCTGTGGAGTTTTGTGGCTGCAACTTTTGTGTGGGCCTAGTCATTAATGGGCCTAGATATACTGATGCACTAATCTAGGCAATTCCTTGACTTCAAGAGATCATAATACAAAATTATAAATAACAATAATGAGCCTTTTAGTCTTTTACAGTAACTACATCACACCCTTGAAGAAAGATGCTGCATATGCGAAAAACTGAAATGAGAACAATAAATAAAAAGCAAATAAGGGTATTTCAAAGTTATTCAAGGTAAAGAATCAAAACAAATGTATTTCATCAAGAGGTCTAACTCAATAACTGAAGCTTATTAGAATGAATCCGAAGTTGAATATTGCAGAGTTCAGTCATCACCAGTAAAGGTCTCGAGAGTTAATGGAATGAAATATAGACAATAATATGGAACTAGTGAGAAGTAAGGAATTATTATATCAATACAAAATAAATTAAATGTATTTACAACTTTGCTTATCTTTTTAAAACTTAAAGAAAATCTATTCGTTCATGCCTTCCATGTAGTTCTCATTCCCCCTCTGTGTCACTGTCAGACTCCATTTCAGGAACTGTTGAACTGTACCACTCCGCATTCTCTGCTGGCTCTCCTTGTATACCAGCAAGGGAAATCCCTCCACTTTCTGGCTTTGCCTTCATGTCCATCGCCTCCAGCTGCTGGCCTTGGTGCTTGCGCTTCGTGTGACGTCGCAGTGTGTTGCGCTCTGCAAAACGCATGTGGCATATTAAGCACTGAAAGGGTTTCTCACCGGTGTGTACTCTCTGGTGCCTCATTAGTTCCCCTGATTCACGAAAACGTCTTGGGCAAAGCTGGCACACAAAGTTCCTCTGACCTGTATGGATGTGTTTGTGTCGCTCAAGATGGCTTGATCTTTTGAACGCCTTGCCACAAAGGTGACATACATGGGGTTTGCTTTGGGAGTGTGTGATGGAATGGCGCTCAAGGTCCGAAAGATAGTAGAAGACCCGCGGACAGTACTGACAGTAAAGAATGCGACGAGGGTCTAATGCTTCGTTCTTTGGGTCATTGATTAGAATTCCGGGTGATACAGGATGGACGGGTGATGTAGAAGAGGTGGCATCTAATGAGTCTGTTTGGCCTACCGAGGTAGACTCAGTCTCACCGTCACAGTTTACCTCTGTCTCCTTATTTTTACTTTCATGGACTGTGGCAGAGGAATCCGGCTTGGTGGCTTCAGAACATGAAGGAGTAGTGACCGAATGTGTCTCAGGCTGGTTTTCTTGTTTCTTCTCCACAGACACAGCCAATCTGAGAAGGGCTTCCCGAAAGGAAGTGGGCACTGGTGTGTCGGAGTAGGCATCAGTGCTGAATTGCTTGATTGGACTAGTAGAGGTCACTGTGGAAGTGCTAGAGGAAGCAGTTGATGAGGTAGGGCTAGCAGGAAGATTAGAAGGGTTATTCAGTCCTGAGATGTCTGTAGCTGTGGCAGAGGAAACTGTGCTGAGGCTGAGAAGTGACGTACGTGAACTTAATGTAGATCCCAAATCAAGTGGACAACTTGCTAAGGGAAGTGCAACAGTGGAAGAAGAGGAAATTTGAGATAACTGCCCAGGCGAGGATGAACTCTGAGTTGAGGACACCTGAGGAGATGACAAAACTAGGAACATGGGGGAGGACTGAGTGTTCTGACTAAGAGGAACTGGTAAGGAAAGGGTAATTAGCCCTGGGTTAGCTTTAGAGGCCGGTGAGGAAAGAGACTGAAGCTGAGATGGAGGAAGAAGAAGAATGGGAGTGTTTGACCCTGTAGTATTAGCCACAATCTGAATAGGAACTGATGCCAAGTCAGACATGGCAGGTATGATGGAGGGTTTATCAAGAGCTACAGAACTGTAAGAAGATTTTGGCTCCTGGTTTGGGGAAACTTGTGAGGTTTCCACTGAGACATGGCCTATAGACATATTTGGACACAGTGAATTGGGTAGTGTCTGTAGTCTTGAGTCTGCAATATCCTGTACATCAGCAATGAATGAGGGCTTATCTTCAGCTTGTCCTGGGCTTAGATCTGTTTGTTTATAGAGGCCCTCAGTGTGTTGTATATTATCAATTTGTGGAACTTTCTGTCCATCTGCAGTAAGTGTGTAAGGAATGCCCTGGTCATCTATAAGTAGTGTATCCATTGGATCTGGGGTTATAATGTTGGGATACGATGTAGTTGCCATGGCTTCAAGCGAAGAGGAGGAAAGATGTCCATCCCAATGCTGAGGCAGATATGTATGAGTGTCACTTACTGATGAAATGCAGCAAATTTCATTGTCGTCCTCCTGCTCCACTTCGACATGTTGAGGCTCCTCCTCAATTTCATCAACTTCCATATGAAGTGAACCTTCATATTCAGGGTCTACAACCCATTCACACTTCCTCTCCTTATTTCGGTCTTTCTTTTTTGGTAGGCTTAAATCTAATACCATGTCTTCTTCATATTGTCCCAAAGAACTTGTCACTGCAATGTTCCTTCCGATATCAAGTCTCTCCTCTCTTACGTTACATAAAATTTGTGTTTTATAATCTTCAATGCTATATTCTAATTTTTCTTTGTTTTCATTTAGGTCCATCCTAAGTTTACTCCCTCTTCCATGTGCCACATCAACAACCTGTGTTTTATTCTCAATACACAACTCCTTGCTTGTGTGATTGCCTCCACCAGGTGACGGTAGTTTGTCATTATGAAAACCTTTATTTAAAATAGATTGTCGTTGAACCTTAATCTCTAGTAAATCATTGGATGAGATGTTGGCAATGTTTGTAGCTTTGGTTGTTACCTCACAAGCTTCTGTCGTAGCATTATCAGACTCTATCTTGGGTATCAGCTGCATGTTTGTTGGTAGACTCCTTGTGTTCTCTTGAAAAGGGACTAATTTATCTTCAACAATCTGGTTTTCAAGAAGACTCATCTGGACTGAGTCAGATTCATTTTTTGGCGAGTTCTGCTTGTTGTAATCCTTTATAACTTCTGTCTGATCTTGTGGTGGATCAAGAAACACATCTGGGGTCACTTTGTCCTTAGACTCAGTCCTCAATGAGAGTCCCTCATCTGATAACTCACTCTCCTGACCCACAGACATTTGGCTTTCTTTGGTGGCAGTAAGATCAGTCCACTTAATATGTGGAATGGTCTCACCTATCCTGTCCAATGTTTGTTGTTTGCGCATAGCAACTTCTGTACATTCAGCAGTAGAGAAGAAATCATATTATTCAGTACTCATGGAGTAAGTCTGTTCATTATAACCTGAGAGAACATTGAAATATTGCCTGACAGTGCCACACAATCTTGCATAATCCATGTAATGGCACCATTGCCAGTTCCTTTCCCATCTGATGTAACTGCTGATTTTCACCCATGTCTCTGCTACTGCCATCAGTCAGGACCTTCTACTCATCTAAGGCATCAATCTAAAACAAACAAGCAAACACAAAAACATAAGACAAAAAACAAGATTCTACGTTCTGTAAAGAAATAACAGAACTCAAGTTACAAAGACAAATCTCAAATAATGTATTGTTTAAGGTAACAATCCTTTATAAAATATTAATGCTGTCAAAATGTACAAATTAATTGCAACTTTTACTAAAAATCACCTTTTGAAGTTACAGTCACTTTGTATATTCTTAATAAATTATTACTAATTTAATATTTAATACATATTCAATATTTAATACTGCCACATTATTTCAGTTATATTGTTATAGGTGTGTATTTACATATAAAATATGGAAGCCCGTTTCCACCTCTGAATAAAAAATAAAAAAGGTAATTGCGACTTTTTATCTCACAATTTTGACTTTTTTCTCAGAATTGCGTGATACAAACTCGCAATTTTGACTTTTTTTCTCAGAATTGTGTGATATAAACTCGCAATTGCGAGTTAAAAAGACATAATTGTGAGATATAAACTCGCAATTCTGAGAAATAAAGTCAGAACTGCGAGATATAAACTCACAATTCTGACTTTTTTTCTCAGAATTGCGTGATATAAACACGCAATTGTGAGTTATAAAGTCAGAATTGTGAGATATAAACTCGCAATTCTGAGAACATATCAGTCGTTATAACAAACAAAATCATAACAGATATTGCAGTTAAACAGAACAAACAGAGGAGGCAAAATAGGGTTGATAAAAAAAACAGACTTGAATAAAAGAATAAAAGTGTAATTATATTTCATCTAGGGATCAGTAATATAAAAAATAAACCCATTTGCCTCTTTCTTAACAACATGATTAAATTTCAGGTTATTTTCATTTCATATTGATACCTACTAAATACATACATTCAACAGCAGAATCTGATGACATCCATTAGCAACTCTTCACAGAAAAAAAAAAACAATACAAAAACACAACCTTCTTGATCACTTATTATTTTAAAAGCATTGAATTTTTTTTTCTATTACCGACATTCATACTGTCAGAAGTATTATAATATATTTTAATTCTTGATACACTATTAGAGAAATTAACTTTTTACTAATTGATTCAATACATTACTTTCTCAGGCTCATTCGGAGTACAAATACTGTCATTATCAACTTTCTCTAGATGCATTGTTTTGGTCCGATAGGTCAACAAAACTACTCTTGATATATTTTGAAACCTTAGAACACACTTCAGAGGAGTCTGGTGGATACTGCTGGAAAATCATGTTTTAGCAGTTGTTTTCATTTGTATCAGAAAGCGTAACCTCTATATCAGTGGTTCCCAACCCTGGTCCTGGAGGCACCCCAACACTGCACGTTTTGCATGTCTCCTTAATCAAACACACCAGATTCAGGTCATCAGGTCATTAGTAGAGACTCCAAGACCTGAAACGAGTGTGTCAGAGAAAGGAGACATGCAAAATGTGCAGTGTTTGGGGTGCCTCCAGGACCAGGGTTGGGAACCACTGCTCTACATGATGACAACCTAAAATTAACAGCATTATAACATTTTGACAATAAATCAAAACAATAAAGCATTTTATATTTTATAAACAGAATAATGATATTTTATTATGGCATGTGTTTTTATAAACAGTATATTTAAACCAAGAAACCCACCAGTACTTTATTATTACAAATTGCAAATTATATTGTTGCATTCCTTATGAATGCAACAATATAATTTGCAATTTGTTGTTAAAGATATTACATTTTTTTGCATAAACAACATCTAATTGTATTTAGAAGTGAAGAAGTTCTCACATTTAACCATATAAAAACACTAAAAACAGACCAGTTCTTTGGGAATGAAAAGCTTGATAGGATGCCAACACAAATCAATAGTTAATCACGTTATTAAGGAAGATTTTTACAATTCTGACCTATAACTTCACCAACATTCGATGTCTGCGTAATATTTGCAAAAGTACACAAATGCCGTGCAGTTAGCAGGAATACAACGCAATGGGCTTGAACGGCGCGCTGTCATGGTAGCAGGTCCGCTCCTCCTTCCCGTGGTTTTCATCACAAATTAACTGTCAACGCGCATGGTTCAAGGTTTGACACCAATGCCTTTGTCCGTACACTCAGCCATGCAGCACTGTGGGAGAGTTAGATATCAACACGGGACATTCGACGCCATTACGCGCCGGAGGTCCGTTTAAAGAAGAAAAATATCAAACCAAACATCGCGTTTGATGTCTGTGGGGTCCAGACAGCGAGTCGAACCCGTGCCATTACATGCCCAAAAGTATCTGTCTGAAGGATATACCCTACCCATAACCTGTGTAATACAAATAAGCTTGAATTGTTCACATATTTTGGTCAAAACACTGACTGCGCTCGAACCTGCGACCAGCCATTTTATGAGTACCGAGGGTTCGAGCCGCTGACAGCGCTCAGACACACTGCTGCCTTGGAAACCCTATTTCAAACTTTCTAAGACAACCAACGCTCTTGAACTGCTACTCACAAGAACTCACATTTCTTCCCAAAAGCTTACAACCATTCGCGCACATCGCTTCTTTATAACTGAAATATTGAATATGAAACTGTTCTCACCCCACGAGTCAGCTCGCGCAGGCACTGAACGGCCCGACCCTGAGATACTTCCGGAAGACCAAATATGAATGAATGACTGGGCGGAGAGGTTGAGCGCGAGAGAAAGGGGAGGGGGGTGTCGTGGTGTTGCAGTTTTCTACGTCCGACCTGGACATGCTTTAGGATTGAAATTTTATATAACTTCAGTTGTGCTTTAGCTAATATGTTCACATTATTTTCATGATAATAACACATTTAGTAAAATCGTGGAACATTATTCAATATAAAAATTAATTTAGAATCTAACAATTATATCATTATTAACTGTAAAATATTTTCAAACGAGAGCCGGCATTCAAATTTATTAATTTTCTTTAAGTAGAATATCTTGTAGGCCACTTTTACATTGTATTTTTAGGTTTGGAGATGGAATACAGCACTCAAACAGTTCTTTGTACCCACAGAAATCATGGTAACACTTTATACATATTATGATAACACTTAAAGCGTTATACATAAAGGTTTTAAGTGTTACCAAAATCATTTATACAGTCTAACCAGCTCAAATAAAATCATTGTTTTAAATGACAACAAACACTCCAGTTTCTTTATTGAAGAATCATGATATTACAAGAAGAAAAAACATTTAAAGATGATTCACTGTTTACACAATGCAAAACTGAATCTGTATAACAGCCATAATTAAGCAAGGCTTTATGCTATAATATTCCCTAGTCTTATTTATGTAATCCAGTCCAATCAAGCAGTCCAGTCAAAGATCAGTTAACTCTAAACATATCATAAAACTGCTTTTGGAATACAGAGAGCATCAATACATGGCATGATTTCTGAGTTCACCTTTAGCCTGTGCATTCTTGGTTGTGGGTTTGACAAACATATCAGGTAGCAGAAAATCACTTTTTAACAAAGAAATAAAATATTATAACAAGATAAACACCAACGCTACCTCAAAAATCAGTTTTACACTTTGTATGACAATAAAATACATGAAAAGAGAGCAGCTTACAGCAACCATAACCTCAAGCAAGTATGAGGGTGTTTGCATATATCAAATATGACACAAATTCTGTTTAAGGTAACATTGTCAATGCAACATACAACAAAGAAAAGAGAAGAGTTAAATGAGGCATAACTGAGATCCTACTGAGATCCGTTCCAAAACCAATTTAGTTGGCACGTTAATAATACAATTTACGTTGATCCAGACTCCAGGTCATGGTGTCAGAGTGTGTGCCAACATGCAAAATGTGTTGTCAAAATTTGATGAGTTCACTGAAGGTCAGCAGGATCACATGGATCAATCTCTGAAACCAGCCGATGAGGAAAGAGCTTGAACTGCAGCCAGGTAGGGTCTAAAAAGAAAAGCGGGAGACGAAGGTGATGCAGGGTTATTTTTAAGTGTAATGTACACTTATTATATTATGTGCATTAATGTGGTGTGAATTATGTACCAAGATAGCAGCTAGGTTGCTTGAGCGCTCCATCTACGCAGACCTCTGTGGCAGTGAAGCTGCACAGTTTTTCTGGATGTTTACAGAAAAATGTCACATTCTCTCCATGAGCAACCACACCATCCGTCAGATCATATGGCCAACGCTTTACTCCTCCCACGATCACCCTACTGCGTTGAGCTGGGACTGGACAGCGGGCTGATCGGAAAGACAGGGGAAGAAATGGTGAAGAGAATGATGCTATTTGTCATGACAAAAAGGAGGTTTATGATTCACGGCTGGAAACCAAAACATTCCAAACCTTATATTTATATTTATGCACATTAAATGTTCAATGCGAATGTTCAACACAGTCATGATGACTTGATGCATTGTTTTGTTAAGAGCTTTATTTACCCCGGCAGGCAGGCTCTGCACTCCATGTCCCATTAGGTAAACAAGTCACTTGATTTGGACCATCCAGCAAGACGTTCTTTTTGCAGAGGTAATAGATTGTATCACCAACTTCATATTCAGTTCTCTGGACGGCCACCAGATGTCCACGTTCAACTTCCTTAGGAGGAGGACAAACCACACCTGATAACATACATAAGCACACACTTAAATTTACATGTAAGTGCACTGCAGAATTAAAAATGAAACCTTAAAAACCTTATAAAGTCTAATTATGTGAAAACCCTTTAAAAGAATATTACTGGGCTCAATCAACACCACTTTAGTGGCAAATAATATTAATGTTAATGTTTTAAAAGCCGAAAGATAATGCTTTTGTAAATAGATAAATAAATATATACTATTTTTTGTGTTATAATATGTATTATTTGAGCTGTAAAGTTTTTATAATTTTATCTTTTACAATGGGGGCCAGGTTTTCATAGCAACCAAGTTAAAAAATAAAAATTGAATATAACTTTACCCAGAAAATGATAATATGTTATTTTCAATAAAAATCATGTTAACAAGTATATTTATTTTGCATCTTTTCCAAATACTTTTGAAACAATGAGTATTTTTAATGTTTACAAATCAGCCTTCACTTAAAGAGCCTCAAGGTAACGCACTTTTTTTTAAAGGAAAGGAAAGGAAAGGAACAAGAAGGACTAGTCAAAATAAATTTTTATGGTAATCAACATTATGATTTCGATTGAGCTTAAATGGATAGTTCACCCAAAAGTAAATTACTGTCAAAAAAGGTAATTCTGTCATCATTTACTCAACCTCAAGCTCTTCCCAATCCTAAATGAATTTCTTTTAGCCGTTGAACACAAACAAAGATATTTTGAAGAATGTTCATATCCAAACCGTTTACGGTAGCCATTGACTTCCATAGTATTGAAAAAAAAAATACCATGGAACTCAATGGCTACCATCATCGGTTACAGACATAATATAATTTATTGTGTTTACAGAAGAAATTCATATAGGTTTGGAATAACTTGAGGGTGAGCCAATGATGACAGAATTCTCTTTTTTTGGGGTGAACTATGCCTTTAACGTGTATTGAACCCCGGAATATGCATTTACAACAAGCCTAGGTTGATCCAACAGGGGGAAGCATTGCACCAGCATATATTAGTCAAACCCACATCGGCTGCAATAGCGCTGCACACTCACAAAAATCCATTTACACATAGTGCCCTATCCACCTACTCACAAACCCACACAATCTTCATTGCTCTTCTCTCTCCCGCTGTCCCTCTCATCTCTCTCTCATTACTTTGTTCAATGGTGTGCAAGAGCAGGCAAACTGAGATCTCTTTAGCAGTTTGGATCAACATTTTCCACTCAAGCACATTCTAATACACCTGCTATTTCTTTTTAGCAAGATCTATGTCTCAGTCATTCCTATGTTGAGGAGTGCATACAGTCACACACACACACACACACACACACTTACGGCGACAGATGGGATGAGGGTATTGCCACGTCTGGTTCTCATGACAGATATTCTCACTATTTCCAATCAGCACAGATCTGTATGAGAAAGAAGACGAGGTGTGTAGATTATATAAGCATGATAAAACTAGATATTCTGTTTATATCAGTCGCGGTTCTCTCTCTTTCTCATAAGTCTCACCCAGCTGCACATTGGTACTGGATGGTGGATCCCACGATGGCACTGCCCTGCACAGAGAGCAGAGGGGGGGGGGGGAATCAAAATAGCATATTTATCTCTTGACTTGAGTATGGATTAAATGCTTGGTTGCAACACATGTGCAAAGTTTTAAGAATTGTACCCTTATTCATGTTTCTTATTGTTTTAGAAAAACATTTTCAATTTAAAGTTTCATTTAAATTATCGATAAATGTAGGCTAGTGAAAATCAATCAAAGAGGAAAAAGGAGTAATTTCCTGACACCTTGTGTACACATCTTAGTCATAAAAAAATAAGGATATTGCAATAGACTTGACCTTGACGCAGTCATGAGGGTCTGCAGCGTCTTCTTTATGATATCATTTCTACTAGTAAATCATTTAGTATTTTTCTGTATTTCTTTTATATTATGATATATAAACAATTACAGGAGCTGCTATGGGGACACAGTGATGGAAAAATATGAGGTGGGAAGAAAGAAATGTTACAATGGTTTTGCAAAACTTTTGCACTTCCCTGGGAATTTACGTACACGTGGTAATTTTTTTTTGAGCAATTAAAAACTGGTGATGGCAATAAGATGAGATTGAAAATAAATATATATTCAATTCTTTTGCGCAAAGATTATTTGTGAAAAGCAATGCTTTAGCAAAAAAAAAAAAAAGTGCAAAAGTTTTGTGAGCAAATGCAAAGTTTCTTGGGGAAACTCAAAATATTTGCAAGCAAATGCAAAGTTTCTAGGAGGAATGCAGTTTTGCAATGCAAAAGTTTTAATATAGAAATTAGAAGTACATTCAAGTCATTGCATTGCATTTTTGTGTATTTCTGAAGAAATATACAAAAATGAGTGTCATATTAAAATTGGTCACATGGGAGGATAGTGACTCTTAAAAAGTTCAAACGTTCAAGAGCCTGGACATTGTTAAGGCCTGTTCATACCAAGAATGATAAATTTAATGATAATGCCAAAAAAAAAATTTTTTATAATTATCCGAGAATATAGGGATGTTCACACAACAACTAGAACAATAATAACACATAGAAACAATATTGGTGGAATCACTTTCAGAATGTGATGAATGATCAAAAAAATCAGAATCCACTAGACTTTAAAGAGCTTGAGTATTTAAAGCAGCAGACGACAAAACTGCAGGACACTCTTAAAATCAACAGAATGTTGTTATCCCTTGGTGTGGACAAAAATATAGTTATCTTTAGTTATCGTTCTTGGTGTGAACGGGCCTTAAGAGCAGAGATATTACAGCAAAAAGCCCTCTGTTATTCAGCCTCCTGGGCTGTTGGTGCATGGTCGTGACTGGAATTCAAATGGATGACCCTGTGGATATTGGCCTGGAGCTTTTATCCACTATATTAGATGAGGTAGCGTGAGCACAAATACATGACAGGGTGAATGGACAGATGGATATTTAGGGCTGACAAATGGATTCACAGGTCAACAACGTGTGGCTGAGCGGGTACCCAGATGATGGATGGACAGAATGTGTGGCTACATTTTGAGTTTTATCAGAAAAAATCCATCTGGAACAAGCTGTTCTCACATTCCCTCTTGAGCAGTTGACTCATGCAGTTATGTATCAAATCTCTCCCCCTTTTGTGAGAATGACTGATTAATGAAGGGGGAGGAAATCACATAGTCAACATGCACACACACCAAACTTCCATTGTACATCAATTCAGCTTTGAATGCGCTTGAACTTTGTGTGTGAATCCGGCGTATCTACATGCCTGTCTCTGCTTGTTAAATATTCCATGTTACTGATCTGCAGATAATAGAGTACTGCAGGACGGTTCTCACAGACCCCAAACGCCCACACCTCGGCTCTTTTGACAGCTCATTCCTAGAAATACCTCTCATGTTACTCCAGGGAATGTGTGTGTGAATGTATGCATGCATGTGTTACAGAGGGGGTGATATTGGGATTGCTGCAGCCTGGAGCTCTGCCGATTCAAGCCTCCTCTTCACAGAGCTGGAGTCTAAAGACTAAAACCCCATAGCCCAGAAACAAGCGGTGACCTAGGTCCACAAGCTCTAAGCTTTTATTACTCATGCAACCAAAAAACGCATTATTATGCAGACACTGACACATACTTCTCATTTCTTCCTGCATTCATGGTCGGTTGCACTCAATATCACCACCATAATATTAGTTAAGCTATTTTTTTATGTTTATAATCTTTATTTATTTTGTATCTGTTCTAGGACTAGCTGCAAGACCTTCTGCAGACCCCTGGTTGAAAATCTGGCCATAGTAGAATGGTTTTAGGTTTTATGGTTATTTAGAAAACAATCTATGTTCTAAAGTTTCAAAGAACCCAGGAGGGCATCTTTTTCCTCTGCTATAGTTTATACCAATACAGACCTACAATCCAATATCAAGAAGTTTTTTCTGATCTCCAAAGAATCATATAGCGAGTTCATATCCCTTTATAAAGAAAAATGGCTTTAAAGGGATAGTTCACCCAAAAATGAAAATTCTGTTGTTAATTACTCACCCTCATGTCTTCCCAAACCTGTAAGACATTGGTTCATTTTCGGAACACAAATTAAGATATTTTTGATGAAATCCAAGAGCTTTCTGACCCTGCATAAACAGCAACACAACTACCAAGGTCAAGGCCCAGAAAGGTAGTAAGGACATTGTTAAAATAGTCCATGTGACATCAGTTGTGCATCCATAATTTTATGAAGCTACGAGAATACTTTTTTGTGTGCAAAGAAAACAAAAATAATGACTTTATTGAACAAATTTGTCTCTTCCTTGTCAGTTTTCGATGCACGTTCACGAGAGTACCACGGTGCATGTGTGTGCATGCCTCTGATTGTAAACAAGCTGCGTCGAAGTCTGACACAGAAGAGACGAATTATTAAATGAAGTCATTATTTTTGTTTTCTTTGCACACAAAAAGTATTCTCATAGTTTCATAAAATTACAGATGATCCATTGATTTCACATGGACTATTTTATCGATGTCCTTACTACCTTTCTGGGCCTTGAATGTGTCAGTTGCGTTGCTGTCTATATGGAGGATCAGAAAGCTCTTGGATTTCATCAAAAATATCTTAATTTGTGTTCCGAAGATGAATGAAAGGCTTATGGGTTTGGAACAATAAAGTTTCAAAGAACCCAGGAGGGCATCTTTTTCCTCTGCTATAGTTTATACCAATACAGACCTACAATCCAATATCAAGAAGTTTTTTCTGATCTCCAAAGAATCATATAGCGAGTTCATATCCCTTTATAAAGAAAAATGGCTTTAAAGGGATAGTTCACCCAAAAATGAAAATTCTGTTGTTAATTACTCACCCTCATGTCTTCCCAAACCTGTAAGACATTGGTTCATTTTCGGAACACAAATTAAGATATTTTTGATGAAATCCAAGAGCTTTCTGACCCTGCATAAACAGCAACACAACTACCAAGGTCAAGGCCCAGAAAGGTAGTAAGGACATTGTTAAAATAGTCCATGTGACATCAGTTGTGCATCCATAATTTTATGAAGCTACGAGAATACTTTTTTGTGTGCAAAGAAAACAAAAATAATGACTTTATTGAACAAATTTGTCTCTTCCTTGTCAGTTTTCGATGCACGTTCACGAGAGTACCACGGTGCATGTGTGTGCATGCCTCTGATTGTAAACAAGCTGCGTCGAAGTCTGACACAGAAGAGACGAATTATTAAATGAAGTCATTATTTTTGTTTTCTTTGCACACAAAAAGTATTCTCATAGTTTCATAAAATTACAGATGATCCATTGATTTCACATGGACTATTTTATCGATGTCCTTACTACCTTTCTGGGCCTTGAATGTGTCAGTTGCGTTGCTGTCTATATGGAGGATCAGAAAGCTCTTGGATTTCATCAAAAATATCTTAATTTGTGTTCCGAAGATGAATGAAAGGCTTATGGGTTTGGAACAACATGAGGATGAGTAATGATATATATATATATATATAGCTTATATACCAAAGACAGAACAATTGAGCAATAGAATAATAGATAGAGAGACAGACTGATAGATTATATAAGTAAAAAGTACTGAAGAAAACTATAGATAACAGTTTAAATATTTTCTACCTGTACAAACAGGCTCATCTCCACTCCACTGCCGGTCACCTTGGCAACGGCGTATTGTAGAGTCTAGCCCATTATGCATGGCGAACCCAGGCTTACAGCGAACCTCAAGCAGAGCGGAGAATGAGGGTGAAGGGGAAAGGAGAGCTACATCAAAATTCTTTCCAGGTGGGAGAGGCCATGGACACATACGACCTGTTCACAAAGAAAAATCACAGAAAAACTGGGAGCACTGCCTTATAATATATCATAGTTTTAGTCATTGTTTTGGTTTATTTGCTTTTTAAGTTTTGTTATAATGTGTTGTAAGTTTTGTTGATGCATCATGGGGTTTCTAGTTCTGACCTGGGGCCACACAGCTGAGTCCACACTGGCCGTCACAGAGACACTGACGTTTGTTGCCACAGTCTTTATCTTGCTGACACTTTTTTGGGCACGTTTGTCTTCTCTCGTTACCCAGTATCCTCTCTGGACACTGTTCTGTTGTGTCCACTTCAAGATAGGCATGCACAGAAACATTAAAAATGTTGAAAAAGATCCGTTTCACATACAAGCGGGCTGACATACATACACTACCAGTCAAAAGTCTGTAATAATTATGATTTTTTTTTTAAATGAAAGAAATCTCTTATGTTCACCAAAGCAGTAAAAATACAGTGCAATTTACAATAAAGTAAAATAATGGTTTCATATTTGGATATATTTTAAAATGTAATTTATTCCTGTGGTGGCAAAGCCAAATTTTTCAGCAGCCATTACTGCAGTCTTCAGTATCACGTGATCCTTCTATTAATTTGTAACAATACTACACAATATCACTGTTTTTACTGTATTTTTAAAATCAAATTAATGCAGCTTTGGTGAGCATACAGTATCTTTCGAAAACATTTTAAAAATCCAAATCATTCCAAACTTTTGCCCAGTAGTGTACATGCAAGCAATGCTTTAAATACAATGTATTTTATCTGTCTAACTATGTAATCTGTGCCATAAAATAGCAGGCTGTTAAATGTCTGGCTGTCTGCCCAAGACACTGTTCTCTGAACTGAACCAGGTGTTTAACACAATTTATCCACATAAACCAGACAGTGATAAATGTAGCCCACCCATAAACAGGATGTAACATTTAAATGTTACAAGCTCATAACAGAACAGAGTGTTGGTAGTAGAATGAAAGAGCTTAACACAATTATGCATTTCTGATTATGCAATGATTTTGAACCGAAACAGAAGATTATACACTGCATATGTACAGTATGTGTGTTCCAAATTTCATGGAAAACTAGCTCTAAAAAATAGATTCTCAAAGCAATATGTGAAAGGAAGGGGATTGTAGTAGTAAATGACAAAATCACACAGATTTTAAAGCGACAGTTTACTCAAAAATGAAAATTCTGTCATCATTTACGCACCCTTATGTCATTCCTAAACTTTACAGTTCTTATGTGTAACACACATTTTTTTTTAAATAGTTCCTAAAATAAAAGTCCAAAACTGTTTTGGACCCAACTGACTTTCACTGTATGGGCAAAACACAGCTAAAAAAAACAGTTAAAAAATTCTTCAAAGTATCCATTTTCAGTAGAAAAAAGAAAAAAGAAAATCATAGGTTTGGAGCAACATGAAGTTAGGTAAAAAAATGACTTTTTGTTTTTTTGAGTAATGAAGAGGAGACCATAATGCATTTTTAAATAAATACAAATGATCATATTTTCTTTACATAAAAAAATACAAATTCATAAATACTGAGCATTTTTTACTCGTCCAACAAGGCAAATATCCATCATATATGATCTCTCATTCATTCATTATTCATTATTAAAAAAAGTTGGAATGCTTGGAAAGCTACCCATATTCCTTTCATTTTCTCTCAGTCACCCACGCACACAAACGCACTCACCTGATGCTGCAGACAGGCTGCTGAGGGCCCACACACACAGAAGAGACACAAGCAGAGATCGCTCCATCTTTCCCTGACACTCACTGCAGAGGTTTTGAAAGAGGTAGCGAGACAGGAGAGGGGATATAAAGATAGGGGAGAGTCTGGAGGAGGGGGTTTTGTGATGGTGTGATGGCGAGGGAGGAGTGGAGTCGCCGTACATGCAAGAACACACACATCTGGATCTTATTGAGTGTTTTGAATGCTGGGTAGAATTCCGCAGAAGAAAAGACCTTTCACCCAATTCCATTGATGCCAAATGAGCACAAACACTCACCCCCACATCAAATGACAGGCCTCATGGATAAACTCTTCTCCACATACACACGCACAGTGCCAAGCTGAATACTGTTGCAAAGTGACCCGCCTGATACAGACTCTTCTCAACACATCACAGTTAATCTCAGCATCCTAAGACAGCAAGGAACCTGCTTCCTTTAGCAACAGTAAACACACACTTTGACAGATAAACGCGACGGCGCTTCCACACAGAGCGACCAGCTAAACCAACAAACAATCACATTCAAGTTAAGTTCACTGATTAATTTCTAGATCTCACCCTTTTGATGAATGTCACACTCAGCGATAGAAACATACCTCTTTATCTCAACAAATCTCCCAAAAAAATCAACATGTTCAAATGTTTTTGAGGCGCTTGAAATATTAGTTGACCTTCGTTGAGCACACAATATGATTTTTCAGATACCCAGACAATGGTTCTGAGAGCAGCGCCCACAAGATATTTCTGGTACTTCAACTCACTGTCAAACTTTTTCATTAACAGAAACTAGGAGTAGCGATTTAAATTAGTTGAATCGATAGTTTGTCGATTTATTTATAAATATTCATAAAAATGATCTAAACGAATTAAATAAAATAATTGTAAATAATGAAAGTTATTAAATTCTGTAATTCTGGAGGTTTCAATAACTGAAGGTTCTTTAGGGTCTACACATTTTATCACCAATGAAATTATATGACTTTTCTAGTCTGATTAGAGAGTCTTTACACATATATACAGTGCCCTCCACTAGGTAAATATGAGCAAAGGCGGCTGTGAAAATAAATCTGCATTGTTTATACTTTTGATCTTTCATTCAAAAGAATCACAAAATTCTAACCTATCATTGAAATAAAACAATTGAAAGTGGGGGGGAAATCTCATTGTGAAATAAATGCTTTCTCTAGGTTATGTTGGCCACAATTATTAGCACCCAATTATTACAACGTCCTTTTCCCAAGACACAGCAAGAGTTTGGAGAACACCTGATAAGAGATCAGAGACCATTCCTTCATCCAGAATCTCTCCAGATCCTTCAGATTCCCAGCTCCATGTTGATGCCTCTTCTCTTCTCTTTCATTCAAAAGATTCACAAAATTCTAACCTATCATTGAAGTTAAACAATTGAAAGTGGGGTGCATATCTCATTGTGAAATAAATGCTTTCTCTAGGTTATGTTGGCCACAATTATTAGCACCCAATTATTACAACGTCCTTTTCCCAAGACACAGCAAGAGTTTGGAGAACACCTGATAAGAGATCAGAGACCATTCCTTCATCCAGAATCTCTCCAGATCCTTCAGATTCCCAGCTCCATGTTGATGCCTCTTCTCTTCAGTTCACCTCACTCATTTTCTATAGGGTTCAGGTCAGAGGACTGGGGCGGCCATGGCAGAAGATTAATTTTGTGCTCAGTGATACATTTTTGTGTTGATTTTGATGTTTGTTTTGGATTACTGTCCTGATAGAAGATCCAACCACGGCCCATTATAAGATTTCTAACGTAGGCAGTCAGGTTTAGATTTTTTATCTGTTGGTATTTGATAGAATCCATGATGCCATGTTTCTGAACAAGATGTCCAGGACCTCCAGCAGAAAAACAGGCCCACAACATTAAAGATCCAGCAGTATATTTAACCATGGGCATGGGGTACTTTTTATCCCTGATTGTACTAAACCTGTCTGGTGAGTTTGCTGCCAAAAAGCTCTTTTTTTTAGTTTAATCTGACCATAGAAGTCAGTGCCATGTGAAGTTCCAGTCGTGTCTGACAACTGAATATGGTGGAGTTTGTTTTAGGATGAGCGAGGATAATTTTTCTTCCCTATATATATAGGGATATATATATATATATATATATATTTTTTTTTTTTTAGGCTTTCTGACCCCAAGACTCAACTAATCCCTCCAGCTGTGATCCTTGGAGAGTCTTTGGCCACTCAAACTGTCCTCCTCAGCGTGTTTTAGGACGATATAGACACACGTCCTCTTCCAGGCAGATTTGTAACATCTTTAATTGATTGGAACCTCTTAATTATTGCCCTGATGATGGAAATGGGGATTTTCATAGCTCTTTTCTTACAGCCACTTTCTATTTTGTGAAGCTCAGCAATCTTGTTCTGCACATCAGAACAATATTCTTTGGTTTTACTCCTTGTGATGATGGATGATTAAGAGAATTTGGCCTTTTTGTTCCTCATATTTATAATCCTGTGATACAGGAAGTCGTGGCTGGACAATTTCATGCTCATAGTCACCCTGGTGTGCTAAATTGTTTTAAATATGAATGGGAACATACTTCAGAGATATTTTACTCGTAAGAATCTCTAGGAAGAAAAACATTTATTTCATCATGAGATTTTCTCCCCACTTTCTATTGTTTTACTTCAATGACAGGTTAGAATTTTGTGAATTTTTTGAATGAAAGATCAAAAGGGATTAACAATACAGATTTATTTTCACAGCCACCTTTGCTCATATTTACCAAGGGTGCCAATATTAGTGAAGGGCATTATTATTACCCAATTAATTATTTTAGTGTGACCTAACTAAAAATTTAGATCACACTTTATTTTAAGGTCCAATTCTCGCCATTACAAACCATTAACTATGACATTTGCCTCAATAAACTCCTAATTTGCTGCTTATTAATAGATTTTTTTTTTCTAAGACGTGAGAACCCTGGTTCTTAAATAAATTCAACAGTTGTTGAGGGAACAAATTAAAATAAGAAATATGTCATATGACACTTTAGCTTTTTTAAAGCTTATTTTAAAGCTTATTTAGTCTTATTTTAAATCATTTGAAACCATCTTGCAGCCCTCTAGTGTGTCTCCTGGTCAGGAATCACTGGGTTCTGCGGAAATTGAAGGAATCAAATAGTGCCTTGAGCATCTTTTCATTTTTTACAGTGTAGGTAGAGCTGCAAACATCCTGTACAAAAATGTCAGCACATTTTATTCCTCAGAGTAAAAGGAAAATGTTGTCTAAACATAAACAAACTCAAACATCTACTGGTGCTCCAGCCACAATGTGCAAGACACTATAGCAATATGTTGCTTTTCCAGCTAGATGCATTCTATCTGCAATATATGTGATAATATTCATTTTTATTGCATTCCAGAATGCATTCACATTTTTTAAATATAATTTATGCTATATACTTTCCCATTTATTTTATTTACAAATATCTTTCTAATTTTTTTTTTTTAAGTCTTCTCTTCGTTTAATATTAAATTAAATATTTATATTAAAGCAGCACTATGTAACTTTTGGCGCCCTAGCGGTTAATAAACAGAACTGCACACATCCCGCGGAAGAACATTCCATCCGGAGCTACTTCTCTAAATTTATGTCTATGGTGATTCACGCAGGTATGTGTTACTCCGCAGCGGCGACGACCCGACCAGGCTACAATAGTCCAAATATAAGTACTTAAAGAATCCATGTCTGAGGGGAACTTACTGTCTTTAGAAAAGTTTAGATGGTATTATTTAGGGTGACCATACGTGCCATTTTCCCAGGACACGTCCTGGTCAGGATTTGTTTTGGCTTTGTTTTCCTGTTTTCATGCTTGCTGAAGGTAATGATCGAAAAGTAGTTTGACCAATAACATGCAAGCATTGTACATAATGGACCAATCATGGTGTGTGAGAAGGTGGGATCTACGGTCAAAGCGATGCAATTACGCGTACATATTAGGTGTGTTCGACTTAAAAGCAGTGCGGCTCAGACCGATCAGTGTTTGACATCAAAGTACCTCGAGAGCATTTTGAAAGCATAAGGAACCGTCTGTATGGTATTTTGATGTCATACACCAATCGGTCTGCACACGCAAACAAAGCCAAAACCTAGATTTTAGGCAATATAGAAATCCTGGCCAGGACGCGTCCTGGGAAAATGGCACGTATGGCCACCCTAACATAGTGCTGCTTTAAAGGGCACATAGCCTTTTATAAACGTCAGTCCATGACAACATGTGAGCTGGATAGTTGAAAGGTTTTCTACAAGCACATCTGTGGGCTTCATTCATTCTGTTCAAATTCAAAAAGAACATGCATTATCCTGGTCGCCATTTTATTTATGAAAAAGTAAGGAAATTGAAGATACTACATGTGGTAGCACACAGAATAGGCACACATGACATGATACAAAATAATCAACCTTAGTGTTTAGTGAGTAAGAACCATAGTTTATTTGTGGTCTTGGAGAAAAAGACTACATTCCCCTGCATTACTTTGGCTAGGTGCAGTGTGGGTAACACTGATGCATTAGGGCATTTGTACATCAAAAAAAACAAGTCACAACACAAAATGTTCATAGTCATCCACATGTGGAAGTGCAGAAACGTAAGGACTACATTACCCAGAATCCATCTGCAAAAGTATATGGTTAAGGAGGAGGCAAATTACTGGGCAAAAAAGGCAGTTAGCTTTAAACACCTACATGCAAAAAAGAGAAAGACAGCACAAATGGTAAGATGGTTCTTTATAATGCTAGTGTACAGGAAAAAAAAAAAGAGAGAAAAAAAATCCATTTATTTTGGGGAAGCAGAGTTTGTGATCACCAAGGGCACCAGTTTTTTTCCCCAGCGTTCCTCTGACACATAAATTGACCTGGCGGTCACAGCAACACTTCTTCTACAGCTGGTGTTGACCATGAATGCTTTAACTAACAGGAAGTGACAAAATCTCTACAGCCGGGAGGAGACTTGCATTAAAATAGATGATATCAAGGAAACAAAACAACAAAAATAATTCATTTGTAGTATTAACAACAATAGTAATAATGATCAGATCAATAATAATTCATAATAAGTGAAGTTACTTTAATGGTCATTAAGTAAAGAAACAGACATTACTGGAGAAATAAAAAGAAACCACGA